TAAGCACGTGGTTGATCTCATTTTATTTTGTTGTAACTCATGCCTTCTATCATCTTTACATGTTTTCTTAAACAAAACTCACCACTCCCACGAACAGGGAACCCCCTCTTGATCACCAGCGCTATCAACGCCACCTACAAAAGGCATCATCCAATGAAGCACGAAATAAAAATTATCCCCATTATACTCGATACCATTCAAATATATTCCAACACTTATTCCTACTCCTCATCATCCACATTCCCAAAAATAAAATCTCAAAAGTGCCTTCTACGTTCTAAATATTCAAAACAGCGTACCACTTAATAAAATCACAACCAACCCTCCTACTCCAAACGAAAAACTTCCTAAAAATCTCAGGACTCCTATCATTTTACGTTTATCAATCGATCGTTACCCAAGTACATCCCGACACTTATGCCTCTTCCCCATCGTTCGCATTCTCAAGAACGAAATCTCAAAAATGCCTCCCTGCTCTCAAATATCCATTACAGAGTGCCCCTCGACAAAATCGGGTCCAACCCTCCTATTCCAAGCAAAAAATCTCCAAGAAACCTCACGATTCCTATCATACCCTACCTATTTATTCGCATGAACCGGTTCGTTCGACAGATATTCGCTTAAAAACGGAGATCCCCGACCCGCGACGAAGCGCATCGGCACGACCGCGAGAGACCATCGTGGGGGGCAGGATAGTGTGCGATAAAAAATAAAATTGAATGGCGAAGAAGAAACCTGCGTGGCCACGAACGGCGGCGGTGGTGGTGGTCGAAGTGGTCTCTCCCGACGACGAAATACACACACGATGCCAGTCGACGTTCAATTTTCGAGGAAGCCATAACCGACGATTAGCGCGCAATGACGATTTCGCATTTTGACCGCGGCACGATTCAGCCAGGCGCGATGCGCGAGTGATGAGAGAAGAGAAGAGTCAGAGGGAGGGGCGATTCCAACAAACGCTGCCGGACTTCGGAGTAGTTGTTAATGTAGTATATGTGTGACAACGGGATTGACAACATGGATACGTCTGACTTAGGAGGAGGTTCGTTCGAATATATTTTCACCGATTATTGGCGAAAACCGATCCGTCGAGGTGGTTGCCGCACGCGCGATCGATCGTCGATCGGCGACGATCGGTTTGGGTTTGTGTTACGTGGATCGCGACAGGTAGAACAGGGATTAATATCGAATAAAAGTGGGAATTCAACTATCGAACAACGAGGTTGGAGGAGGTGGAGAAGGAGAAGGTGGAGGAGAAGGGTGGGGGGGGGAGTACGAGACGGAGGAGGAGAAGGAGGATGGTGGAGGAGATGAAATCGGCAGGATGGGCGAGCACCAGCACCACCAGCAACAACAACACAGGAAAGAGTAGAAGAGGATAGAACCTGGGGAAAATCTCGAGGAGGTGGACGGGGGGTGATGCTGGAGGAGGATGCAAGAGAGAGCTATACGGGATGCGGAGGATCCACGTATTGAAACGAAGATTCGGGAAATTTTCGCTAAAATATCGTGCATTTCGAGCAGCACAGGTGTGTCGTGCGGCGTTCCGGATCGCGTATAACAATACTTGTGACTCGGTTTCTCGGTCATCGTTTTGCGCGAGGCTGAACACCAGGAAAAACACGATACATTTTCTCGATTTTTCTGCAGACGATGGCGAAAGGATCTCTCACTATTCGAAGGTATTTCAGTAGGTTGCTCTAGGACGACTATACCGAAGCGATCCTCGATCCTCGGCTCCGTTTCGTTTCTAATTGTTCCTACCGAGTCGTGCCACACACGATCTGTCGCTATCTATCAGACAAAGACGCCCCGACGATATCACGTGCGAGGAATCGAAACGATCGCTCGAAAAATACATTTTATTGCCGATGTCCGTGGCTACGTCGGGGCATCCAGTCGGTGAGTACACAACCTGAGGACACACACACTGCGTGGGTGATTGGAAGGGATGGGCAGAAATTTCTAGATACTATTTTCCTGTGAAAACAAGGAGACTTCTGTACGTTTAACAAACGTTCCAAGTTCAATTATAGAGCGAAATTTCAGGGGATGAATTCCTTAAAGCAAAAGCATTTAATAGAATATGTATTTTCTTATGTTCTGAGGTTGTTATGAGATTTGAAAAGTAATAAACATACATGAGAAAAAATTGAGAATGGTCGTTGAGAATTATTGGTAAATTATGAATGAAAAAATTTTGTACATTCTAAACACAAAGGTTCCCCAAATTTTTGACAAATATATCGAGTTCGTAACCTCGACTGAACTATTGATAAGAGACACTAACATTACAAAAATGAGAAGTGTATAACACCAGACTTTTTTAAATAAAAAAATATTTCTTTAATAAAACCGTGCCCACACTAATTTATTTCATGAACTGCATCAAGTGTAACTACCAGAGGTGACCTCACGGAGCAAAGGGTTAGAAGAAAGAGCCATCGAGTCTCAGAAATTCGACGAAATGACCCTTGTAATTAATTTTACAGACCGTACGAAGTATCGCATCAGAAGTGACGCTGGAAAAAAATAATTTCCTCGTAGCAGAGGTGACCTCGCAATGGAAAGGGTTAGAATAACGAGCCATTGGACGTACTGGGTCCCAGAAATTCAACGTGATGACCCTTCTGGCCCGACAATCGCGGAGTCGTGAACCGCGGTAGCGGGAAAACGATGAAACGTCAACGATACGTGACGCGATTGGTCGAGTGTGCCAGGCCTTAATGACCCGGGACGGCTAATTGCCGCGAGTCAGAAAGAAATTGTAAGGTCAGTCGTCCTGTCGTAGATTTGCTCGACGACGAAAATTGACTCGGCTAAACGAATCATCGAGGTCTTTTTCCGCGCCACTCCGACGGGGGCTTGCGTGGGCGGGCTCGATGGATCGCTAATTGACTTTGCTCGACGATTAACGATCGACAACCGGAGCCGATGACTGCCGTTTGTTTCCAACGAGACGAGCCCGTTCGACACCGAGCGGCCGAGCCACGTTATATCTAGTTTATACGACGTACATTAGACATGAATGGCATCTCCTCTGCCAACTTGAATGAGAGCAATTTAACTTCTTTAGGTTGCTTAATCGGTAGGAAGTCACATCAGCTATACAGCTGTATAACCTGTACAAGACACCAATACGTGCATCGTTTGCTTCGTTACGTCGCCAGTGGGGAATCATAGGAGAAAAATCACTGTGAACCACGCACGAAAACAATGGAGACAATGGCGGAGATGAACTCTAGGTCTATGGTGTTGATTTCTTTCTCAATTGGGCCTCGAATCTTTATTTGAAAACGTTGGAGTTTTCGATGATTGCCATCGGACTAACTATGGATTTTGACGGATAGATTCAAAGGTATAGAATCGTAAATTGGGATGGAAATTTTGTTTCCTCGTCCTTTGGTAAAAAGATTTCCTGATTTCCAAGGGAAGAACCACCGTTAATAAGCTATGATCGACTACGGTGATTCTTTGAGAAATTCGATGAAACCGCGTTATATCGTAACAAGTTCCTTAAAATTGAAGTAATGGGCTACCTTAACGAGGCGTTTCCTACTTGGTCTTATCTATAATATTTCATCGTTAGCTTCCCGCTGCGAGACATACTTTGGGCGCTGCTTTTCGCTGCACATTGCATAAAAATATGTAAATTCTCTGCTTGATCAATTATCATTCGATACAGAATCATGCCTATGTATAATTGTTAATCTGGATCCAATTAAAATGTCTCTTGTTGGATAGTATTATATTTCGCTTAAAATAAATTGTCGAATAAGAAACTCAAAAAATGGAGCGAATGAATGCTCGACTATTCTCCATGTTTTAATTTAAGTGCCTGTACGTCTGTTCTTATTGGTCACCCGTTACTCGAATGAAATGTTCCCCATTTCTGAGCTAATACCAGAAATCGAGGGTGCAGGATTCCAGAAAACGCGATTTCGATGACGAAACTGGCCTACCACGGGAGAACGGATGCAACGACCGCTCGTGGTCCGTGATCTCTGGAGCGATTTGTCTTTGAGTGCGCGTGGGAATGATTGAATAGCTCCATAGAAATGAGAAACAAGCGCCTCGTGAATTTTTAGTCATAATTCTTCCTGGTGAATCTTAACGGAATTTTCATCCGGGAAGCAGAATCGCGAGAAAAGTTTCGATTTTTCGTTGGTAATTTTCCCCCGTTGCCCGAAGCGCTTTATCTGATCGACTATTTGTCATCGAGATTGGGCTACTTTCGTAATCGAGGCCGTGGGTACTTCTCTGTTTATTTACACGTCGTGTGTGTTCGTAAACATCATCGATGCGTCACGACTGGAAATTGATGAAAGGACACCACATAGATAAGTGGTTTCCAAACAGTTCCAAAGGAGCTTCCCTAAATACCAATAAGTCCAACATCAATAAGTTCATTTCTAAATTAAAGATTTCTGCAATACTCATCTTTAAAAGAAAATTTTAATCTATACTTTTAAAGCTCTGACTACGCCAAGATCAATAGACCCTTCCAAAAATGGTCCTTTTATCAACCACACGCAGGGCCATTTTAAACGCTCGCTCATATGCAATCGAAAAAATATTTTCCTACTCTCCAAGGTACATAAAAACATCCCCTAAAAGGAGAAGCTTGGTCTCGTACCCATTTCCTCGGAATTAATTCCCAAAGCAGACTCGATTTTCGATCGAATACCGTCCAGCGCTCGCGATCAATTATTTATCGACGAAACCGTACGTTGAGCAATGTTGATGAGCACGACAATCGTTTATCTTCAGTCGTAATTGTTGACTAGTGCAGCGACGATAGTAATCGTTGACATCGTCATCGTAGTTGCGAGCAGTATCAGTTCCACAAACGTAAAACTTTACGGTGAAACGTATCCGCTGGATGAACAGCGAAGGTCAGTGAACTGATTATGTTTGTGCTCACCGTAGCTAGTGGAGCGAATGCAAGCAACCATCGTGATTCGTAATCACCGAGTGAAGTGTGTGTCCGACATTTGTGTTCAAGTGCGCTGTACCAGCTACGCAAGGTCGGGCGAAACTTATGTAACGGACTTGTCCAAAATCGTGCAACGATACGATGTAACAACACAGCGCCAGGCCATGATCGAATCAAAGTCGAATCGATCTTGTACTGGAAATTGGACCACGATTTCAAAGGGGTGAAATTTAAACACGAAACTGAAACTCTTCGTCCTCCACTTTCCTCCGCCAGTTTCTTGTTCGATACGAAGATTGAATAATATTTTATATCTTTGGGGGGAAGCATGGTCTGGTCCTGAAGCCTCCAAACTTTAATTCGAAGAATAGGGTTTGTTTAATAGGATGTTAATAATTTTTGGTGTTATTTTTGCAGTAATTTTATCAATTGTTTGGTCTCGTCGTGTTAAGTTTGTATCGACACAGGTGCAAAAGAGACGAGGGTCAGTTTAACAGCCATTTTTCACCCTTAACTTAATCCCTACCTGTAAGAAGACGTTGATTAAAAAAGTAAATACACGTGTATGCGAGAATAGATAAATGAAGATAATGGAAGAATAAGTTTAAAAGAAATATTCGATATAAATAGACCACTGTCATTAATGTTGTCTGTATAAAAAATAAGTTTGTATAAATAAGTTATTAAATAAGTTATTTGTATAAATAAGTTTGGATACTTTTGGGCCAGACAATACGATTCTACCTCCTCATTAAAACAACTTCACGTTCTAGGTATAAATTGTACACCCCCGGCGATAGAAGACTTTCCACACGATCTTTTCGACGAGAAGCAAAGGCAAGGCGGGGCTGTAGTCGTCCACGTGCTCGTTTCGCTTTATCTATTTATCGCGTTAGCAGTAGTATGCGACAAGTTCTTTGTTCCCGCAGTGGAAAAAATTTGTCACGGTAAGAAAAATGTATCTAGTTTTTATCCAAGCATTTGGGACTTTTTCTAGCTTGGGTACAGTAGATCCTCGATTGTTGCAAGGAATTGAAGCTGAACATGTTGCGATACGCGAGGTGTATGCAGTAGCACATGAATGGGGTATGCAAACCTTGTTGCTCGACGATCATCCCCTTCACTTGTCGGCCCATGAAATTATCGAGGCATGGGATGGAAAAACTTCTAGATTTCATTCATGTAATTTCCGACCGATTACAATACACACGAAATTGAAATTTATAGGTTCAAACAGTCTAGATAAATTTAATTCACCTTTCAAAGAAATCCTAGATTAAAAGTCATGTATTCGTATAACATACAGATAGATCCGTCTTGGTAATTGTAGAAATTTATCGATCACGAGGAGCCCAGCTTCAAAAGGGATCCGCGAGGCGATACAAAGCCTTTCAATTTCAAAAGGTTCCCCACCCTCGATCGAGCTGGAGTCGAGGATGCAATAATCGAGGCACTACTGTGCCGCGTTTTCCCTTCAGACTGGGGCCATTCTCCCTTTCTGGCTGCAATAGAAAAGAAACGATCTGCGTATGACGTAAACGGGTGTCAATATCGGTGGCGACTCTATAAATTTCAGCGCTCTCGATGTCCAAGGACGTGGCAGGCGCTACATTCATGGCTGCTGCGACGTCGGCACCGGAATTGTTCGTGAACGCGATCGGCACGTTCATCACCGAAGGTGACATCGGCGTCGGGACAATAGTAGGCTCGGCTGTATTCAATATCCTCGCTGTGCCTGCCTGCTGCGGCATTGGCGCTGGAATGGTAAGTTTAGAATCGGGAGCAGCTCGGAACGTTGACGTTTCCTTTTTTTCCCCGATATTGGCCGTAGCTTTGGGGCGAACTTTCATGGAATACAAGTGGCCAAGAGATGGGGGCAAAAAATATAGTTTCTAGGGCTCTTGACAAAGTTGGGGCAATTGGTTTACAGGGTTACTCGGGCACTGGTTCAAGTTAGCTCTCGTAGAGATAGGTCTGGTACTATTGGGTCTGATGCAGCGAGGTCTAATGCTGTTAGGATATATAAAGTGAGGTCTGACACAAGTGAGGTCTAGTAGAATGAGGTCTAATACGGTCAGGCCCAACAAAGTCAGTTCCAATACATTAAAGTCTAGTACAATGAGATTTAATACACTCAAGCCAGATAAAATGAACTCTAGTACAGTGAGGTCATACAAAGTGAGTTCTAGTACAGTCTGATCTGATACAGTAAGGTGTAGTAGAAGTCTAATTCAGTCAGGCCCAATAAAATCAGTTCCAATACAGTGAGGTCTAGTACAGTCCAACAAATAGAAGCCACATTATCTATAACCACGAATCAGACCAAAAAATTCGATACTTGTAGATACAAATCACCTTCTTATCTCCCCAAAATAATTTTCTTATCAAATCCGAACAATTTGCCACAGAGGCGAGATGTTTTCTTCTCCCAATTCTGTGAAAATTCGCTCGAAGCTTATCGGAGCTAGGAAATACGCGAGGTCCCGCAAATCAAGGCGTAATCGAGCCGCTATCGTGAACGTGTTATCAATCTCGAGCAGTCCACGTGTGTCGATCGGTGTGCGCAGGTAGTTCCTCTGGACTGGTGGCCGGTGAGTAGGGACTGTCTCGCCTACGGCGTCACCGTCGCCATTCTGATATGCATCATACACGACGAGCGAGTGGAATGGTACGAGGCGTTGGCGCTGGTGTTACTCTACATCGTCTACATCGCGGTGATGTACTGGGACAAGTCGTTCCAACGATGCACATGTTTTCGTAAGCACAACGTCGACCAAACGTCACCGCCCGACGATCATCGACTAGCGGCAGGTGAGGCATCCCATGTTTACCTGATGCCTCGGAGGCAAACTATCACTTTACACACTGGGAGCCTATTAATTGACTTTTTAAGTCCAATTTTGACCTGCTGATATTTATAAAATATGATGTCGGTTGTCTATTTACAATACCCAATGGGTATAGGAGGAAATAGACGAGACTGTTGACATACGATGTATCAGTGTTGGACATAATCGTAATCATAATTACGATTACGATTATGCCCAACACTGCAATGTATGTCGTTGATATACACTGTTAATAAAAATTGTTACATTTAGTGACAGTATGTAGAATCAATATGTATGTAGAATATATATATGAATGATTAATCATTGATAATTGGTACAATTAATATATGCTATCGTGGGGAATCCTCTTGTGGGTGGTACCTGTAGACTGTTTTCAAACAGACCGATAGGTGAAGTATTAAAATCAAATATTGTCAAGTTATTACCTGGAACAGCAGTACAAAGTACCAAATTAATGAACTAACTTGACACGTAGACTAACTACCCCAAACTCAACCCAATAGATTCTAAAATACAACCCCCCGTAAACACATACTTTTCCCCAATCACAGATCTCGCTGCGTCTGTTAAAAATGGGATTCTTCCGCGATATATCTTAATCCTGGATCGTCTTTTCAGAGGGCAGCACCGAAATTCACTTAGCGAGGTCTGATAAAGTGCAACCAGCCGCTGATCAAGCTGAGCACACAGACGTGCCGTTGCAGAATGGGGGAACGAAGACTCAAGACGAGAATCCCGATCCCAGTAAGTGAAGAAGTGCGCCCCGTTAAGCCTGCCGCGTTCCCGTTTTCGAGGCTATGCATATTTCATTGGCTTTTGTGGAATCACGCGTTTCTGCCTCTCGCGACAGACTCTAGAATCAGTCGACCGAATCGATTCCTCCTTTTGGCTCCTGACTGGGACAGTTGTCACCGTGCCATCGTGGAATATTTTCTTTGTTCTCTGCTGAGGCCACCAGACGAATTTTACTGGTGCTTTTGAAGCTAAGAAATTCTTACTTTGATAGTGGACGGGGACGAGTGGGATTTAAATTGAAAATTTCATTAACCTTTGGAAGCCTGATTTTCCAAATTAAATTTGAAAAAATATCAATGTATTTATTATTTGAACAATTATGACAGCTGACGTTTATATTTTTAACTTTTGTTCAAAAGAACATTATGCAACACACATACAGTCAAATAATAAAAACAAACCAATTGCACGTGTACAATTCGATTTAAAAGTCCGGTATCAAATTTGAAACTTATGCCATTTAAGGGTTAAATGTAATTTTGTGTGAGCAATTGTAAACAATTGTTTGCGGACTTGTTAACTTTAAAATCACAATTGATATACATAGAATTGATAAAGGGATTAAATCTAGAGAAACAAGTTGAAGGAATAGTCTTATTGTTAGTTTCAGATACTATCTAGTATCTATAGAATTCAATCATTCTCTACATCTGCAACAAAGCAACAAAAGTCTTGCATTTATACATGATGGATCTTCACGTTCCACAGACTATGAGTACGAGTTGCTGGTCTGGCCATCGCGAGCTGGATGGATCAGGAAAACGGCCTGGATCATGACATGGCCGATTCACCTAATATTCATGTGCACGATACCGGACTGCGAGAAACCACGATTCAAGAATTGGTTTCCCGTCACGTTTCTCATGTGCATCATTTGGATTGGATCGCTGAGCTACGTCGTCGCCTGGATGATCACTATAATCGGTAATGAAATTAGCGTGAAATGAAACTATAGTATTTCGTATGTATTCGTCATTTATCCAAGCAATGTAGGTATGCTATAATAGAAAATAGAAAATTCCATTTGCATAGATCCTCATAGATTGGATTGGCTAATAAGTTTGTTTGCTGTTTGGCAATGTGTTTATATGCATTCGAAAGAGCCCTTTCTGTTCTATAATACTGTGATAATCGTTGTTTCGAATAATTCAATTTTTTATCACTTTTCAAGCTTAAAAATGGAATTTCCAGGAGGCAAAAGTCAACATTTTCGACATCTGCTTTTCTTCGCTTTTCATCGAGACAAATCTCTCGAGCGGCTGTACCAGCTTTTAATCCTCGATGAAAAGCGAAGAAAAAGCAAATGTCGAAAATGTTGATTTTTCCCTCCTGGAAATTCCATTTCTAAGCTTGAAAAATAATACAAAATTAAATTATTCAGAACAACGATTATCACAGTTTAGTATGTAGAACAGAAAGAGCTCTTTCGAACGCATATAAACACTTTGTCAAACAGCAAACAAATCGTTCTAGGATAAAAGAAAAAATGAAACGCTACGAACTTATTAGCCAACCCAATACTTTGTATAAGTAATCGTGGCCCTCCCGAGTGTAGATTATCTAGAGCCGTGAGTATCTTGCGAAGACATTTACCTTAACTATCACTTCCTGTACATTTTTAGGGGACACACTCAAGATACCAGACTCCGTGATGGGCATCACATTCCTCGCAGCTGGTACCAGTGTTCCAGAGGCTGTGTCGAGTGTCATAGTAGCGAAGCAAGGTACAGTAACACGTATAACTCCCCGCCTATAAAAAGACCTACGGATTTAAAATGTTCTGGGAACAATCTCTAAACCATAATCCATTCGATCGGTTTGTTTTGGCACCCAGGACACGGCTCGATGGGTATCAGCAACTCGATAGGATCGAACACCTTCGACATACTGTTGTGCCTGGGTCTACCATGGCTGATCAAGTCCTCGTTCTCCCCCACGCAACCCGGGAAACACTACATCAGCATAAACTCCGGCGGTCTCGAGTACAGCGCCATATCGTTGTTGTCCACCTTGATGCTACTCTATATTGCTTTTGCCTCGAATAAGTTTCAGCTCGATAGAAAAGTAGGCCGTGCCTGTTTATGTATGTATGCCGTGTTCCTTATACTAGCCTCGTTGATAGAGCTCAACGTATTCTTCAGGGTAAACTTGCCCACGTGCCAGAGGACGGTCAAGTGATACCGCGATCGAATAGTAGAAAACGCTTAACGATATTCGATACGGTTTTTAGTTGATCGTCGTACGTTCCGTAGAACTTGCGAGCAACACCGAGTGGACCGAAGAATACTGTTTTATATTACGCGAAAAAGAAACTACTTCCTCTATACTACCGTCTCGCCCTCTCTCTTCGCGAGACACGCTATCCAACCCCCGAGGCTCCATTATGTCATGCCCATCCTTTCTTCACGAAACCAGGCCGGCCACCAGGTCGATAAAATATCTTTTATCCGTCTCAACAACAGCTTTGTCCACTGTACCTTTCATTCCACCGCTGCACACCACCGTTGTATCCCCCTATTCTCTCCATTCTTCCTCGATCGCGATCGACCGTGCTAAAACTTTCTCCCCTTAACATATTTCCACCCTCTTTTTTTTTTTTTTTTTTTTTTTTTTGGACACTTTCCGCCTCAATCGTCGCGCTATTGCTCTTACCGTGAACAGCGAATAATCTATAAGAATCGAGAAACACATTGAGTTAATAAAAAAAAAAAAGAAAAAAAAATACAAGGCAAAGAATACAGCAGGTGATTACATCCTCCGGTAGAACGTAGACACTCGCCGCCCCCAATTATCTTACGTCGCGCGTGCACGCATTCTCGACCAGGTAATCACGCGTTTGTCGGTTTAATGTAGGACAGCAATCGCGTGTAAAACGATTTCGCGTTAACATGTAATCAGTTTTATCATTTTTATCGTCGAAAAGGGACGGTGTTGTATCATGCGCGCAACACATGTAACACGAATTACCATTTCTACGCCAGATTCGCGGTGAACATGCCGAACATGTTGATCGAACGGAAATTAATGAAGCAAAAAGAGTAAAAATCGAAAGATCAAAGAAAACAGGGACATCAGCGAGCTGTAACCAAGCATGTCCGATCGTACGATAGCGTGGAAAAGACTGCCGCTTCTGCAAAAGTACAGAGATGACAATTAGCGAATGTATGACAGGGATGAGCGATATTTGCCACGAAATTGTCTCAAATGTACCTTGAGGAATGTTTGACGAACAAGTTTTGGTCATTTTTGTTCTCCTTAGTGGAATGCCTGGAGTGTTTTATGGTTGTATTTGATAATTGGGCCCTATGGAATACTTTATCCGATTTTGGTGGTTTAATCGAGGAGTTTTAACGGAATAATTAAATTTTTGTCGTAGTTGGATGTACGTGGAGGATGTTTGCTCTTTAAATTTGATATAATGGAGTATTTTTATGACGATACACTTGTGAGTGACCAAATTTGTACTTTGAAGAGTTTGTAGAATGCATCGGATACATTTGTAAAAACAGAAACGAATGAAACTTTATATAAATTCAATTATTTAAAAAAAAATTCATGAATATTCACAGACAAACGTCCAAATTTCGAGACAATTGCAGAAAAAGGCTACGAAGATATACATACTCCTAAATTTCTTTCTCTACGAACAATTCGAAGAGCAGCCAGCAAGCACCATATAAACACCTGAAGAAATTCTCTAATTTTTGTTGAAAGTAACGAACACACGTCTAAATAAGAAGATACAAGGCTATAGGTATTCGAAAGCCACAGATCGCAATAGAATCGAGATTGTTCGTCACTCGTTCCAAGAACTGGATGTTAACATACAGTGTTCCAAAAGTGTTTGAAATAGAAAACGATTCAAATGTGCCCATCCCTGATCGCCAACGCACAGACGCATCGATACGTACGCCCCGTAAGCATGTGCGATCGAGCAGAGTTCCGATAATCGATTATCGTTGCGGAAGAATAAACGATGATCCGCTATCGGAACGTGGATAATAACGATATATCTACGAAATAATAACAACACATTTGTTTGATACAGAACCAGATTGACGTGTACTGAAAATTCGCCGCAGGGTGTATATTTAGGTAATCTACGAACTTAACGAGTTTAATAAAGTACTGTAATAAGTTATTAAAAAGAAGTTATCGATCCTCTCGTGCATCATAGTTGGAGACCTCTATCGACCCTCTTCAGACTCGAAAGCCTCTATCGAACTTCTGTTCCCTTTTGTAAGTCCTTGGTAATTCTGTAAAATAAACAGAAGTCGAGTCGAGCCTGTAGAGTACGACTCGGTACCTCTACGATTTAAATTTATTTAAACGGTTCGTGGAATTTTAATGCTACAATCTTGGCTCTATTTTCTTTAAATTATCCATTTTTCAGTTTCCATTATTTACGACACGCAGGTCTCCCTTGGATGTTAAAACATTTTTCATGCTTTTAATGTAAACTTCTTCCAGTAGAATTTCTTTCAGACCTACATCCGCAGCTTGATCCGCGGCAAGTTCATCCGTGGGAAACTATAACTGGCAAATCAATAGCTTCAACCGTGGAAAGTGCATCGGATGGAGCATTTCGCAAACTGGAAACTTCCGAGTATAAAAGTATGGAGATATATCGGTCGTGAAACTAATATTCTGTAAGGTATTTAATTATTAAGAAGTTATTGTTTTATTTTGACTGACTTTCAACGATCACCTTGAACGACATCGAGTCATAGCTCGTTGCATTTAATAATATTTATTTCCAAATTTGTATTTCAAAAATTTCAAGTTCTTTTATCGAGTACAGTACATTTGGTCCAAGAGACAATTTTGTTCCGCCATAAGAGTTATCTATTGTTCGTGGCAGTAAAGTAGAAACCTCTCTGAAAATGCTTAATGTTTTCGTAAGTGGCCAATAATTCCCTGCGATAAGTATTATTGCACGAAGAAGGGAGGAACAGTGCCGGGCTTAAGGGGAATGTGGTACCACGAGTAAGTAGAATGTGGACAGCGTCGAGAAATCTCGCCTCATAAAGGCCGGCCATAGTGTCTGACCTAATACGTTTGTACTCCCTTCACGAAGAATACGCTCCACAACAAAATCGAGCACTTCATAATACAATGGCCATACAACGGTGCAAAAAAAAACATTTTTAACTTTGGACCCTCAATTTTTAAATTCTATCGAGTGATATTCCAGAAAATAATTTTTAAAATGGTGGCGCCATTTCTTCTCATTAGCCATTCTTACGCGAAAAGTGAACTTTTCTTTCCGATTTGAATAATAAATATTTTCAAAAACGAGACGTCTACATCTTAGATAACTTATGTAAAAATATTCTATAAAAATTTGAAGCTGATTCCACCACTAGTACGTGAGATTTCACGGCGATCATACAACAAAATGATCCTCTAGGGAAAACCCCCGAAGCAACGCCGTTTTCCAAAACTTTTCGAAGCAAATTTCAACATCCGAAATCGGGCACGTTTCGCGTTAAAAAGTCCCCAAAATTAGATTCTCGATTGGAGGGTCAAGGTAACAATTCGGCTCACTTTTGCCGCAGCCTGGACTTCCCCCAAGTGTGACCTATCGAGTTATAAAAAGAAATGGCGCCATGTACATACGACCAAGAGAAAATTCGCCCTGAAGCATCGCGTATACCGAGAACCGACTCGCTTAGACCCGACTTGTATCGGTCCACGGAAAAATCTGACAATATGCTTCGCTGGGACGTCAGCGCCAGATAATCGGAAAAGTTGCGGACGCTTTCGACGTTTTCGCGCGCGTTGGCAATTGTAATCAATGTTTTCGAGACCTTTGGCACGATTTCAACGGAGTGTCTGCCCGTACCCAAGAAAGGGAATACGACCGCCACGCGTCGCAGACTCGTTTCAGCTAGGAGCACGCTCACGTCGGGACGCCGCTGATCTCTCACAGGTAAGGTAGACGAAGGAGCTTCATCCCGAGATCATTCTTTCACTTTCGAGTTCACCTGGTGGCGATGCACGCTCTCGCGAGTTTCCTCTCGGTGCATTCCATACATATATGTAAAGACTAACGAAAAATTAGAAAAAGAAATAATATGGAAAGACGTGGAGCATCGTCGAGACATAGTGCGTGTCACGGAGGCCTGGTCGAAGCCAACGAATTCACGGACGAAGGGGAACGACGATACGGTGACGTATCGGGGCATGTGACACACAGGGTGAAGTGTGATAAGAAGGGTTGGAGCTGGGTCGGGGTGGCAGTAGGTCGAGCGCGTACTAGGTCGGTAGGTCGAACAACGTGGGCGGTCATAAACGGTTCAGGAAGGGGTCAGTTGCACGTCACCACGCCGGATCCGCAATGCGGCGTTGTCGCGGATACTGTTGCCATTGCGTTTTCGATTGCTTTCCGTGTATCGTCGGGTCGCGTCGCTTTCGGGCTACACGCTTCCCTCGAATTTACCACGAGTGCACGCGTTCGTTGCGTTCGCCTAGAATCCGCCCTACGACCAGCGAAGGGTTTCGTATGCGCGACAGCGACAGGCCTGGTTGGCACGCGCCCCGAGCCAGAGCCGCGGATCGATCGTGAATCCGAGCGAGGTTCTCGTTCGGCGAAATGAAACTTTAAACGCGGCTGCTCTTATTTCTCGGCTACTGAAACGGAATTCGAAAGCGTGGCAGAGCGTCGAGAATACGCATCGAGATTCAGGGAAAGGCTGGAGCGGTTAGGGCAGGTTCGGGCATGCAACGCGCAGCCGTGAGGACACTCGAGACGGGCAAAAAGCGCGGTGGCCCCTGACGCGCATCCTTCGATGGTATCGGAAGGAACAGTCGAGGAATTTATGTGGATTTTTGTTTGTTTGGGATCCGGGGATTGTTATTTGGATTTTTCAATTTTCCATTTCGTTACTCGAAACAAAACAGCAATTATTAACAGAATATATAACCAAATATAGGTAGACTAATTTACCCAACTCTGTAAAGGGGTACTTGTTGTCGTGTCCTCAAGTGTAATAATTCATCCATTATTGAAAATAGACGAGTAGACGCATCATTTTTGTAATTATTGACGAGTTACTATTATTAGGTTGATATATTTATTTATTGTACGCGGTGTTTCCTTTAACGTGGGCACCTAGAATATCTCAGTTTTTTTTTTAAAGGCACAAAAGAAAGTCAAAGGGGAAGATTCACTCGAAGGGGGCAGATATTCTTGATAAGCAAACGATTTTATCCAAGGTCTTATTTTACGAGACTTCAGTTGTAACTCTTTTCAAACCGGTAGACTACAGACTCCCTAAACTCAACAAGATAAAAGGTCCCTCCAAATGCATTCTTCTCGCGTGCGAACAGTACGTACGTTGACCCATGTTTTCCCCTGTATCCCTGGAGTTGACTATTATACATACAATCATGAAACTCGACACGACGATTCCTAGAGTGGAAGCGTAGATGATAGAGAAAATAGAACTCCCACCCCCTTCTCTGTACACTCTAAACTTATTCCTTAGAAGCAAGGAAATTCTCATTCCAAATCAAAGCACAGCAACCATTATATATTGAGGAAAATCCTACTCCCAACCTGGCAGCTAAACAATAGCCACCCTTGCTCTCCAAAGACCTCTACCTAACAACCCCCTCGCGAATTGCACTTTTGTACTCTGGTAGCGGTCGTTTGGGCGCCATTTCGGTCCGCGTGTGCGCGTTCTGCGTCGCAGCAGCCGCAGGAACCCGTCCTTAGAGGTCTCCCTATTCGACTCAGCCCCAGCAGGGGCAACAGGAGCAAAGGTGGCGGAGGGGGTGTAAGGGGTAGAATCGAGAGATATAATTCCGAGAGGGACTCGATGCGGCAAATGCGGCGAATGCGCTGAATGCGTTGAATGCGACGGTAGGCAACGTCATGCGCTCTGAAAGCGACCGCAACCCTCCCGTTAGTGAACGCGGCGACGTCAGGGGGTGCGCAACTCGTGCCCGCGAACGATTGCGCGCGCGCAGACGCGCGAGCGTACGCTCGATCGCTCGCTCGCTTTTCACACACGAAAAAGAGCCTCCTCGACAGCGGAGAGGAACGGTGGTAACGTTGGCCACCGAGCCAACACGGAGGTGTGTACGCACGCTCGTAGCTCCGTCCGCTGAAAAGGTGGGAGTCGCAGTGTATCGAGGTTGTGCAGTGTTGCTTGCCGCGCAGGTGGTATAACACTCGCCGTTTCTACGATAGGATCCTCACACAAAATTTTTACCGAAAAATCGTTCGCGTTACCGCGCGTCCTCGTTACCGTCGTTACTTTTCATTTTCCACGGGTCGCGTCGTCCGCGAAGCGATCGTCCACCCGTTCCCCTACGACCTGCGTGAACCCGTGCCCGTCGAACCTCGCGAAGAACAAGGAGTGCATCGCGTACACCGCGACGAAAGGGCCAAACAACATCCCAGAGAACGAGGATCGCGAACACGAAGACAGCAGCGTCGAATGTTCTTACGTGGCACGGCGCGCGATCGAGAACGAAGGTTGATGCTGGAATTGCCGCGCAATACGGAAACACAGCTGCGATTGAACGCTAGATCCAAGCCCAAGTCGCGATCGAGATCAAAGCCAAGGTCCAAGAAGAAGTCGGGTTCGGAGCTGGAACCGGAAACGGAGCTGGAGGCAACGTTGCGTTTGGGATCGAGAGCAGCCTAGCC